GATAATGAGCTCATTCTAAATGTGATGCAGGAGAAGAATTCTGTGAATATCATGGACTTCTATAAAGGCAAATAAAAGGGTCTGAGTGAAAATCATATATTGAACATGCCACAAGATAATAGCTTTTCTAATGAGTCAGAAGATGATAATGCTCAGTAAGGTGGAAGACGATAGAAAAAGAGGAAGATTGCTTTATGAGTAGATACACTCCATCAAGGAGGCCACAGCTCTGAGTTTGAAAGACCTGAGTAGAGCAGTTAATGATCACAACTCATGGCAATCTGTCATTTATAGGGTTGTCATAAGTTGATGCTAACTTCATGCCAATTAACAACAAATGTACTGCCATGCAAGTGAGGTCTAGTCACAGAGATCCATCTCCAATGTGCCAGAGAGGTGTATGGCAATGTTGGGGATTATATTTCAACCTGAAGAGGTAAGTAGAGTCAAATGCCAACACATTTTCCATTAGGAGTTCTTAATGTTTAGGTGGAGACATTTTTTTCCTGCAATTTGACTCTATTGTTCCATGTCCTAGTCTCCAGAGCAGCAGAAAGCAATCTTGCCCCCTTATCAATGGGACATCCTTTCAAATATTTAAAAATGGCAATCACGTGCCCTCTCAGTCTTCTTTTCTCCAAGCTAAAACCATACCCAGCTCCTCAGAGGGCTTGGTTTCCAAATCTTTGATCATTTTGGTTGCTCTACTCTGGACATATTCTAGCTTGACAACATCCTTCTTGAATGGTGGTGCCCAGAACTGAATACAGTATTCCAAGTGAGGTCTGACCAAAGCAGAATAGAGTGGGATTTCCCTCAACCTCTAATAAAGCTTTATAAGAGCCATTTTAGTCCTTAAGAAGTGGTAAGGGACTGCAATGCTGGTGTATTGAGGAAGGTAGTGTACTTACCTGGACAACCCTACAGGGTTGGATCAATCTCCTCATTGGGCCAGATTTGTCTTCAGGTATGCTTTCAGTCTTCCTCTTCCAAAGTGGGTCCCACAATTAGATATATTCTGCACTTTCCATTACCCGGATGATTTGTCATGCACTCTGGGGCTGATGGGAGTACAAAGCCTATGGGGGAACCAATGTTGAGGAAAACTGGGCTACTATATAACCAGGCCTGGGGAGTTGTGGCTTTAAATATCCATTCAGCCATGACATTCATTTTGTAACCTTGAGACACTCACAACCACTGAGTCTAGCCTGCTTTGCAGGGTTGTTGTGAGGAGAGCACAGGAAAGAGAGAACCTCGCCTTGACCTTCTTGGGAGGAAGGGATAAAAATATAACATATGAATAAATGATGTGTATATGCCCCAGCTCTCATTAAAAACTAAATGCACAGTGAGGGAGGATGAATAAGATTGTAGCTTTTTCCTGTAACCTGCTGAGTCTGTAATATAGCCTATACATCCAGACTGTAGACTAAGTGAGGGAATTCCATGTTTCTGCTGGTTTGCACCCACATTGCTCATTCTGGGGATCAGAAACAAGCACTTTATTTCTATCTATAGATACACTGGCATTTTGTTATCCTTGGTTCATATTTATCATGCAATATGATTTATGCTAAACTAATGCTACTCAAAATGATGGTCTGTGGGAGTTGAAGTCCAAAACACCTGGAAGGCCAAAGATTGCCCATGCCTGGTCTATAAGCTACTGCCTACTGCTCTATAGCATGGAAGAGAGAAAGGGTTGAACTCCATAGATAGCAATATTCTACTGGTATTGTATTGTACTGGTAGGGAACATGCTAGCCCCCTGAATCAGATAAGTTTGAAGCTCTGTGCTAAACAACACAGACATGCACATGCACACCTTATTACACACCATGACTCTTCTTTGAAATATCAAATCTGATCTAAAAGTATTCCCCCAATTAAAAACTGAATTTGTTTTTTTTTTAAATAGCCTCTATTCATCTTTTAAACTTCTATACACAACACACAGAGATAATCAAATAAGCATGAAAGCCTAAATGAGAAAAGGAACAGGAGAGGGGACAAGAAAAGAAAGAAAAAAGGAAAGATGAAGAGAATAGCTTTTTTTAAAGTGGGGGAAACAGGAAAAAACAGCAAGTGGTGATCAACACATTCATTTCATACTCCTGCTGGTTAGAAGCCAATTTGTTCCAGTTCCGTTGCTCTGTCACCATCTAATTATGGAAGATAGAAAAAATGATAAAATAGAAAAAATCCCCCCTACCTTTCAGCACAATCCTTTGCCAGCCTACTTAGAAATAATCCCTAGTGAATTCAGTGGAACTTACTTCCAGGTAAGCATGTGCTGCTTCAAATGCCAGCAGTCCATCTCATTAATGCCACCAGATCTTTAACTGCTTCTACTCTGTCTCTTTCAACCATTTGGGAGCTTATTGCAATGTTCAGGCATTTGAGAAAAGAAGCATAAAGGCCATTCTGGTGAGACATGGAGAAAGAACAAGAAATGTCTGAAACAAAAGGGCTAAAACCTTATGAGCATACAAAAGGAAAGGAAACAACCAGAAGTTGCATTTTCAAGCCATTAAGGGCAATGGTTGAATACAGGCCAATGGAATGGTAAACCGGATAAACCCAACCAGGTTATTTGCTGGAGAAAATTCTTTTCTTCCCTAGCAGAAAAAAACAAACCCAATACCATTGGCCCTTCACATTTGCAGGCTTAATTTTGTGGAATTGATTAATATGATCTCTCTAGCATTTTCTAGATCTTCCAGTGTGAATCTTTGGTCAATTTCCATAAAATGATATGGTAGAAGTTGACCACAGAGTTGCACTGGAGAACCTAGAGATTCTTAGAGAGGTTTTCTCCCAGGAAAAAAGAAAACAACAGTTTTTTTTAAAAAAATATGTGGTTCTCCCACTTTTGCAGGGATCCTGCACCCATAACTTCAACCAAATGTAGATGACCTACTGTAAATGCAAAATAAATAACTGTATGGAAGAAGGAAAGGGTGGCAATTGACACACAGAGACAAGCAATCTTGCGCACTTCTGTTGCTTGGTGTATTCAAAGTGCAGAGCAACAGGCTTCCATCTGCCCCTTCCTACAAACAGGCTTGACTGCTGTGTTGGGATATAAAATACTATGCCCAGTGTTCAAATGCATGCATCACTCTATGCATATGTGCCTAATCAACAGCTAAATCAGAGCATGGCATCAGTGCTTCTTAAGGTAAGTGGTGGACTGACAGCTAAATCATAGCATAGTTGGGAAGGAATACAGGACAAGATCCTGCATCAGGAGATGGAACATAAAGTTCTGCCCATTCCATACTATAATATGGATCTCCTCTCCCTTCCCACAGAATTGCCTTTTATCTGTGCCACCCCTTTATGACCATTTCATGAGTGGTGGAGACATGAGTGGTGGAGACATTGCAATAAATAATAAAAGTTTTTGGCTATGTGCCTGTGATCAGGCACATTACAACAATACCATTCCTTGGGACATTAAAAGGTCTGAAAGGATTACTTTTTTTTCTTTGCCTTTCTGTGATTGCAACTTCCAGTTCTTCCTCTTAGGCCACTACAAGGATGCCAGTCACTAGGTCTGAATCAGGCCGGCTTTTCATACAATAACCTTCTGCATTTGGTTTTATACCTCTCTTATACATCACTCTTATCTCATACTATCACTTGTGTCTTCAAGCAAAGGTCATATGGATTTTGCACAGAGGCGTTATATGGCTCTGGATCTGTTAAATGAAAGGGGCTGGAAAAGGCCAACTGTTTTGACTGGGCAGATCCTAAGTATTTGTGGCTAGCAATCAAAAGGGATCAGTGTGTGGGGCTGGAGGTTCACAGTCATTGCACCCAAATAATTAAGGAAATGATTGGTAAATGAAAAATTCAGTGCCAGGATGGGCAGCTTGGATTCATGCCTGGCAATGGAATTACAGATCTTGCTTTCTTGCACTGCACCTTGCCTTTTTACACAGTAGCTAATCCTTATAATGAAAAAGAAAAATGAACAGCAAGCCAAACCATCAAGGACACACCACTGAGATTAAGGGGGAACCTGCATTTCTGCCTGGGTGGCATTTGTTGGTAGTTTAGAGCAAAGCAGTATAGATTCATTGCTCTGAGTTAACAGATTTATCAGTGTCCTGAGTCTGAATTATGGAGAAGTGCAGAGCGTACTGTCTGCGTGCAATTTGATGGGCATATTAATAATCACAATCTCCTGCTCTGACCTTGAATGCAGCCGGGATGAGGATATCCTTCTTAAGTTGCCTTCCCCTTTATGTACAGGTGGCTGCCTGCAGAAGAATGTATTTGTTATGGCTATCTGTGCTGTTGAAGCAGCCCTGCAAACACTCCCAGGACTATCAATCCATGCGTTGGATTCCTTTTCATTGGGGGTATTTGGCAAGGTGTGCCATGAAGTCGCTTCTAACACACACACCACACATATGGTGGGAGAGCATGTGTGGTGTTGTGTGTGAGCAGCTAGCCCATGGGCAGAAAAGGCACTGTTTCCCCTTCAGCATCCTCACCCCAAGTGTATCAATCCATGCTCATAGTACAGTCGATTTTTTTCCTCCTTGGGGTGTTGGAGAGGTCTACACTTCGAGCCACGAAAATGCTGCTAACACACATACAAACACCATACACACACACATACAGTTTTCCCTTTACCCCCTCCTCAATCTCCTGCCACTGCAGCTGACTTCGCAGGCTTTGCCATTGATCGGGCAGGTTTTCCCCCGGCTGGCTCGCCTCCTCGCCTGCTTCAGACTGCAAAGCTCAGCAAGTCTGGCTGCAGGCACTTGGGAAGGAGTTGGGATGGAGAGGAGGGGCTTCCACCCTCCTCTTCAAGGGTTGGCTCCTGAACTGCACCAGGGAGGAGGAGGAGGAGGAGGGAGCCCCTGTTCAATTAATGCAGGAGCCTGACGCGTTGAGCCACCCTCTCCGCCAATGGGCTTGGAGCTCTGCAGAAGGCAGCGTCGGACGGGAGCCCTGGAGGGGAGGGGAGGGGAGGGGAAGGGAAGGGAGGGGAGAAGCAACTGCAGCATTTGCAGGGACCGACCTGCCGGCTCCAAGGCTCCAGCCCCATCTGAGCGCCCGGCTGCATCTGTGTGTGCCTCTCCAAGCCAACAAGCAGTAAGTTTTACTTTCCTTCTTGTTCTTTTCTGGCTTCTTTCTCACAGATGTACTTTGGAGCTGGACATCTTTCCTTTCCTTTTCCTTCTGCCTCTCTGAAGGCTTTGGGACAAAAGGAGCAGATGAGCCAGGAAAGGGGAGGGGGGAGAAGAAAGGAACAACCTTAAGAAAAACCGCAAACGCGTGGCTTGGAGACTGCAGAGAGAGAGAGAGGGAGAGAGAGAGGGAGGCTGGACGGGATTGGATTCCACAGAAAGATTCCTATAGGAAAGCGAGGGAATCGCTGTCCGTGGTGCTGACGAGGCGGTCGGCTTGGTCTCCTTTGGCGGAAAGTGCTGAATGGACAGCTCTCTTGGTCCAAGGGCTTCTGCTCAGGCACTGGTCGGTAGTTCACTTCTGATTGGTGCAGAACGACAGAAAGTCGGTTCTGTCCTGAAATGCAAAGCATTTGAGGAGGAGGGAGGAAATTTTTGTGGTATGTGTACCTTTCATTGTTGGATTACTGTCTTTTACAGAGAAGGGTCTTCTCTGGTGTACATACTTTTTTTTTGGTCCTGTCAGGAGTGACTTGAGAAACTGCAAGTCGCTTTTGGTATGAGAGAATTGACCATCTGCAAGGACATTGCTCAGGGGACGTCCGGATGTTTTGATGTGTTACCATCCTTGTGGGAGGCATCTCTCATTTCTCCACATGAGGAGCTGGAGCTGATAGAGGGAGCTCATCCACGCTCTCCCCGGATTCGAACCTGCATCATGCCGGCACAGGGGTTTAACCCACTGCACCACTGGTGTGAAGGCTGAACATGTGGCATAAGCTATACCCTCCCATCCCATACACATACCTATCAAGGTTATACAGTACAGCCAGTTACAGGGTCAGACAAGTACATATCCCCAGTGGGGATATATTTACACATGTGAAACCATTAACCTAGACACTCTTTGGCATGTCCTCCGAGTCACAAAAACACCACAGATGGGGCATCAGGCACACCGTGGGTCTTCACTCACCAGATCTGCAGTCCTTTGGTTTTCGATCCTGCTTGTGCACTGTGCTATTGATGCAATATGTCCCCACTGAATGCGTCTCTGCCTGGCTTCCCTGGAGAGGGTGCTCCGCTAACTTTCCTGACGTGGGAAGCGAACCTTTTGCGCATTCAAAACCTAGTCTTCAAACTCAGCAGATGTGAGGCTTAGAAGGGTTGAGAAGCCTCTTTTCAAGTGGTCTGTATAACACATTGTGTGTTGTTATATGATCCTTTCAGTGTATACTGCGAGACTATGCCTTTGCATTTCAGATCTATTTCTGTCTGCAATAGTTCAGGCATGGAATCACACTCCCTGACATTGCTTGCAAGATATGCTGACTCAGCCCTCTATGACACTGTTCAGCAAAGGATGATAGTTCCCAAAAGAGAAGAACAGACTGTATTGGGCAAAGAACAACTCACTGCACCAAAAGCTAGCTGTGCCAGTGTTCAAGCATGTCCAGTCATGGGGCATTGTGAAAGAGACTCAAAGGAGGAAGAGGGACAATTCATGATAAAGGAGATGGGTCGCTACATTTGACAGTTTGGGGCTAATGATTGAAAGTGGTCTTTCTACCAAGGTGCTGCTTGTTGTTGGAACCATCATGTCTCAGACGAGTTAATTCAGTACTGCATAAGGGTGGACCAAACACTGTGGTGCTATTCGCGATTGTGTACACAAGTAGTTGTTGTGCGGTCATCGGTGTGAATTAGATGGCACACATAGTGATCAACAACCCACCTCCCTGACTGTAACTGCTGGGGAAAGTACGTCAATAATGGGCTTGTTGCTGGTTTATAAAGACTGTATGTGCCATTGAAGTTACACACATCTTTCTGAATCAATTTAGCAATGTACCCATGTTGACTGCATGGAAAAACTTATTAGGGTGAACTTTCAGTGCAGTATTTTTTAATTTTATTTTTTTGCAAAAAGGAAGGGAGAAGCTTAAGGTTGGGATTCAGACCATTCGTATCTTCTATTTTGAAAAACCTTTGGCTAACTTTTTGGAGGTGGACTGCAGCATGAAATTGCAAGCGATGAGTCTGCTAATTCTTAGCTGGCTGACTGGCACATAGGACAAGTCACTTTCCAAGCTCTCTGTCTATTATGCCTCTGGAGTGCTTACAAGATGAGATGGGAGATAATGATTTTCTAGCTCTTGAGTCATTAGCTCTGTCTGTTCCCGATAAGGCCTAGCTCACCCTTCCTACTGCAGTCTCCTTTTGGAACACACATAAAGACTCCGCCAGCTTGCTGTCATTTGCTCCAGACCTGGATGACCTCATTATATAGAGGTCAGGCTGTTTTGCACTCTATGAGTACAAGATTTGGGCAACATTTGACTCTTGCCAGGGCTCCTAGTTAACTTTTCCAGTACTCCCATTGACTCATCAGTGAGATATATAGCAATAGAGGAAAATGTTAGTAATGGGAATGCAGTGGAAATGTGCATTCTTTCAGAATAAAATGTTGTTCTGGGATTTTTTTTAAAAAAAATATGAAGAAGCTCTTTTGCTAGATAATCCTGTAGATTGGAAAAGAAGTAATTGTTATGGCTGGTGGACAGAAGTTGCAAAGTCTTATTCTATACATGGTATTGTCCATTTGTAGATAATACATTGTGGACTGATATGTCATTATCCATTAAGATTTTAACCCACAGGAAGATAAAATATTAAATATGACTTTTTCACTATGAGCAAACAAATCTAAAATAATATTCCTATTTATTTTGTCATGAAAACACAAATCAGAAAACATGTGGGTGTGAAACAGTCCTAAATATTATGTGAACACAAGAGCCTCTATTGATATTTGGCTCCAGGGGATGTATGGATGACTGAATCCATATAGAATGAGAAGAACCAAAAGCAACATACACTACATGTTGTACTGACACTTAATAAGAAGAGTGTTTTCTTTTCTGGCAGAAGCTCATTTTTGGAGTGATCTTCTCATATGTGCTTGTATTTATGTTGACCTCCATAAATGTCAATGGGAGACTGTGGAAACAGTGATATACTTGTTGGTTCAATAGTGTTGTATGGATGGAAGCTGTTGAAGAATTTAATTCAAAAGCATGCAACCGGAAGACAATATCTCAGTGGCTGATAACAAGACCATACTCTTAACACAGCCTAAATTCAAGTGACCCTCAAACTTTCACTGCTTGGACATCATTCTCAAACTTGAGAAAGATCTTTTGAGTTCTGAGGCACAGCTTTGGTGTTCCCCTTTCTAAGACAAGGGAAAGCTTTCACAGGCATGGGTTGCATATCCTAAGAAGACTGGCTTTCTAGAAAGTAAAGTGATGCTTATGTGTTGGGAAAGAAGTTCTCTGTCCTCCTTCTCCTCTGAAATTGTGAGAGGAAGAAGATTCCTGTTCTCAGAGAGAGCTTCCTTATCTGAGATGGGTGCAATGTCATACTGGAATCTGTATTTACAGCTGTAATTAAGGCTTTTTAAATTGGATGCACAAAACTTAACTAGGGTGCAATAAAGCTGCAAAACAGTTAAATGTGGACATCATCTCTCTCTTTTTACTTGCAGCCTGGAGTTTTAATATTGGTATAAGAAAGGGAGGAAGGAATATTGAAGCAAGCTAATGTACACACACACATACTGTTCATGGACAGATATTATCATCTGTCCATAAACATTTTTAATAATATAATCACATAAATTAACAAACCTCTTGCCAATATGTAATGAATTCAACTCACTAGAAGTTGGTAAGTTTGCATCAACATTTGGTGGCCTGTATATCTTTTGTACAGTAAAAAGTTGTGCTCTTTTCCTGGCATCTTTTCACATTACACAATTATATCCCTGTGATTCCACTTCAGTTCACATGGCTTCATGCTATGGAATCCTATGTATGGTAGTTTGATGAAGATTTATTAGAGTTCTCCACCAAGGCTGCAAATCCATAGGACAGAATCATGGTGGTTAAAGTGGAAACACAGCACTACACATGTGTAATGTTAAAGAGATTTTGAACTTATTTCCACATCACTATCTCCAACAATGCTTGACATTTGTCCTGAGTTCCTCTGCAGCCTGGATCTGTTTTCCATGGTGGAATAAAGGAGTATTTACTATGCCTGTATCACTATATTGTTCATATTAAACATGCAACACTTAGCAGTATAAATGGATCACTGAAGGTCTTGGAATATGGCTACAACTGTTACTGAGCAAAGTAACTTCTAGAAGGTTTGATGTTGTTTTTTTCCAACTTGCTCAGGTAATTTCTTTGCCTAAGATAAGGCTGAACAGGATAAATAAAAGCAGGGCTCAAGAACGTTCACAGAGTTTTATACCAGAGCTATGCCTCCATTGCAGAAGCATAAGGATCCACTGTCTACTATAGGGCACAATGAACTCTTTAAAAATTACTTGCTTACATGTATATCCTATCTTGCCTTCAGTGAATCCATGGTTCTCCTTCTCCACACTTTATCCCCCCAACAACAATCTGGAGAGGCAGGCCCAAGTCAAAAACAGGTTTTGCAACCATTGGGAAGATCCATCAGGGGGAATAATAGAACAGCAAGAATATTTTTGAAATTTTATCCTGGTATTTGATATTACAAAGTGATGTGGAGGATTTATTCTGTGGATAGTTTTGCATAAAATATGCTCTCTGCACAGAAACAAGAAATGTATTCCCCCCCCCCCAATAACCCTTTATCTTTTCCCAACATTATTAGAAAAGCTGATAATCCCTCCACAACATTTCAAAATATTCAATTTCAGCGAGAATACAATAGAAATTCATTCAGTTGGGAGAAAATTGGTATAATTGTCTTTCTTTCCATGTAACTTAAAATTCGACCCCTGAGTTACCCAATGAATTCCATGGCTCACTGGGGTCTTGAGCATTGCCCAATGGTCATGTTGGTTATGAGACTCTGGGGTAGTAATTCAGAAAAGTAACACTGCCAAGCATTAACTAATAACCATAT